ATATATATATATATATATATATATATATATATATATATATATATATATATATATATATATATATATATATATATATATATATATATATATATGTGTGTAGTGTGTGTGTGTGTGTGTGTGTGTGTGTGTGTGTGTGTGTGTGTGTGTATGTATGTATGTATGTATACATATATACTGTTTACTTCTCAGCACATGACCTACCGGCTGTTTGTTAAGGTACTCCTGTAGTGTCCAGCTGATAGCCACCCAGTTGTTAAGGCTGAAGTGCACCGCTGTTCCGTGCAGCTTGGCACACTGCCCTTGCATCCTCGACGCTTCGGCTGTGGTCTCCACTGCACCCCTGCGGCCCCTAGCCCTGCCCAACGATGTATGTGCGTGGGTATCGCGCTCTGTACTAGTGTTGGCGTATGAGTGTGCGTGCAGGTGTGTGGTCGACACGCCAGTCGTGAATGTGGGTGTGTTCCCCGTCAGGCAGTCGTAGACATAACGCAGATCGCCCGCCAGTGTGCTGCCCTGGATGAGCCTGTCTGTGAGTGAGTCGGTTCGCTCGAGGGTCATGGCTGTGGATTCCTGCAGTGGAGTTTTGCGATGTTCGGTACTGCGGTGCGCTGCGACGGGTGTGGTGGGAGGCGTGTGCATCCCTCTGCTCTCCAGCTCCAACGGGTTGGTTGCCTTCGCCTGCATACCCGCATACGAGATTATGAGCGCATGATCAGCTGACTATCGTTTGATATCACGTATGCAATGGCTTGAGTCGGGTCGCTGTAGACATACTTATGAGTGTGATTTATGCCCGCAGCTGCACCTTGCTGATATAGCTATCGTAAGCACCCGCTGGCGGCATTTTGATCTCACTAAGGTGTTTGATGTCGGAGTGTGGTGATTCCTAACAAGCTATGGGTATTAAACAGTTGTTGCCGCAGAGAGCTGACTTCAATGATCAAACGGCTGGAAATACAGCGAAATCAGGGAGCTCGGCTTCAGCTTCCGTATAGTCTGTGCGCATGTTCACCGCTCCTATATCAGACCTACACGTGCACCTACTCCAAACTAGTTCTATTATACAAACCTAGTCAAGTACGACGCAATATATATACAAATGCACCCTCATTTTCTGAAATTCACGCAGAGTTGGCCTACGCCAGACCTTAATTCGATATTTACGTGATGTGACTCGCAGAACAGCCGTATTGTGATTGCAACAACCTGATAGAGCATTCATGATTCCGCGTGTGATCGCTCGTAAATAGATTTTATGCGTTGCGTGTGTAATAGGTAGGCACATAGTTGCGTGAAATAGAGGTAGGCAAAAGGTTACGTGAATGATAGGTAGGCAAAAGTTTACGTGAATGATAGGTAGGCACATGGTTGCGTGAATTATAGATAGGCACATGGTTGCGTGAATGATAGGTATGCACATGGTTGCGTGAATGATAGGTAGGCACATGGTTGTGTGGATGATAAGTAGGCACATGGTTGTGTGGATGATAGGTAGGCACATGGTTGTGTGGGTTATAGGTAGGCACATGACGTTTTGCCAGTTTGTAGCTGTGTGCTTTTGTGAGTGATATGCTGTGGTGTACTTACATATGTGCGAGTGTTCTGTATGTATGCCCTGGCTCTCTCCTCCTACGTGATAGCGTGGTGATACGTATATATATTGTAGACCCAAGTGCCGGTACTGCAAGACAGCCCGAAGCCAGTTGTTCATACACGGTGAACTAATTCCACCTTCCACCCAATGAGTCTCCCACAGACACCTCACCTATAACACACCACACACCCGTATATCCCCATACGCCCCGTCGTATATATCGCCATACGCCCCGTCGTTGCACCCACCTGATCCTTGGTGTCCGCCGTAAGCTTAGTGGGTGACGAGTCCTGTACGTCCCTATCACTCTCCTCGGCCCGATCCACCCGCCCTTGGCCCACAGCCCCTGTGGCGGGTGTCACCAGCGCATTCTTCGTGGTGCTGTCACCTTCTCCGTGTGTGTGAGGGCTGGCCTGTGCCTGAGTGTGCACTGCCCCTGTCCCGTTTCCGCTACTTCTGAATGTCAAGCCTTCCAGTGACTCCTCTCTCTCTAACCCCCCGCGTTCCGTATCTGCCGGCCCAGTGCTCTCCGTTGCATTCGCACCCGTACCGCTGGTGCCCTGGTGGGTGTCGGGGGTGGCTGTTTCAGGCGGCTCTGTTTGACTGTGATTGTCGGGGCTGCTCTGGTGACTGCTCGAGGTCTGCAGTCGGCTCAGATTCGCTAGGCTCAGATTCCCAGCACCTATCAACCGAACGTCACACAGCAATTAGGTACTTAAATCAGGTATTCTCCGGTTATTGTACGAGTATTTATGTGACTTGCTACAGCACATGTGTACACAACTGATCACTCGACCACGGCGCGAGTGTTGATGCAACTAACGACTCTACTTGTGAAAGGCGAACAGAGAGCATATCGACCAATGAGCTACAAGGAACAGAAACGTTGACACAGCGTGACTTTGCATACCAATCTACAAGAAGTTCACAGAATAGACAGCTAATTAAGTCAAGATGCATTGCTCGCAAATACCAACGCAATACGTTCAAACGCACCGAAACACCGCACCACTGACGATAAGTGCATACCCCAATCGCCGCACTTTCACAACCCAGCCCACCACACAGTAAACCATCCCCACACACACCCCCCCCCACAAACCACTGCCAGTCACCTACCAGAGCCCACATCCCCGCCGTGCATGCTCAGGCCCATACCCGCCCCGGTGTTGTTCAGTGTTGTACCGGTTGCTAGTACGGGTGTCGAGGGTTGACCAGGCGATTGCCCCTGCACGTGTCCGAGTGTCGGTGTGTTGTGCGCCGGGTCATTCGCCAGTGCTGATGCGCGCCCACTTACGTCGCTGCCCTTGACGCTGAGTATGGGGCTGTCTCGGTTGTGATCTCTCTCTCTGTCGTCGCCCATGTCGCCGTACGTTGCACTGCTGTCGTGGGCTTTGGATTCTTCTAGTATGGCGTGATGTATATCTAGCATCTTCTCCACCTGTGTGGAATCGCGTAGACCGTGTCAGCATCGTTGCCGTCGTATAGCTTCTTTGTCAGGCCGATGTGTCCTGTAGATACAAATAAGCTTAACTACTATCGATCCGCCAGTCTGCGGAAGTTGCAATGTACACCAGCTCTGCAACATGGTGCTTCACCATTCCGTAGTCGATATATACAAACCCTTCCGCACGTGGCAATATCTTATTAAATTTAATCTCCCTAGCCCTCCGCTGTACACTTGACAAACCGCACTATGGTTCGACCAGCACCATGGTACCCTGCGTATGCAGGTTAAATATACATATATACTTATACACTGATATAGTGACTTCATACTGCACCTATTTACATATGATATCAGAACGAAGAACCGCAGAACTTGATGATCCACCCGTAGTGTGCGGTATGAACATGCCAAAT